ATATTGTTAGATTTTCAGAAAAAAGTATTGGGTTAAATATTACAAACTTTGAAACACCAAAGAAGAAGGTTTTTTTTTTAAATAGTTAAATATTTATAAACAGGCTTTCTATTATGTTTTATTGGTTAGTTAAATTTAAGTTAAATGCGTTAATATATCACTTTACACCTTTGCAATAACATATTAAAAGTTATTTATTAAAAATTTACCTTTAATGCGCTTTGCATTATAACATTTTTTGCATAAGTGACTCCAGTATAACCCAACTGAAGGACTGCTGAATAGCCTCTCTCCTTAGCTTGATTAAGATATTCGTCTATTTCCTACATTACAAGAACATTATTAAGTATTAATTCATTTAAAAGTGTGATTTAATTAACGAAGTGTAATTACCTGCTCTCTGCGAGTTAGCATTGGATGTACAAATTTACGGTAAAGAGTGGAGCTACCTTTTGTTGCTGGCGAAAGTAACCATAGCACTATCACAATCTTTATTTCGTAGTAGAAAGGAAACCAAGATAAAAATATGTCAGTCACTGTTTCGATGCACGTGAAAAATGCGTAAACAATCCAATACATCATCCATTTCACCTAATAGAATGGTAAAATAAGAATTAAAATCTGTATCATCTTGTAATAATGTAATAATAATTTTGTACTTACATATTCTTTAACGTTTTTAGTTCGTACAGCTTTGTAGGAAGCGTATGCCGGATATAAAGTTCCAAACGTTAGCCTGTAAAATGCGATCAATACGTTCAGAAACTTATACATTATTATGAAATTACATATACAAGCAATTGTAAAAAATTGGTGTGTACGATTTCCTAATATAAACATAACATGTTCTATACTTGGCTAGTCGTATTCGACTATTTATATAAGATCAGTTTTTTATATTTTTGACCATTAGTTACTTGACCCAATTGCAACGGAACCATAATAGTGCATATGCCGAAATGAAACTTATTCTATTGAATCAAAAATACTGCAAGATCTGTTTATTTGCATTGTTGTACACACTTCAAGAATTAAGCGCTAGTACAAAAATAGCATTAGGAACTCTTCAAATATTTGAGATTCGTCTATGCAATTCTACCAGAATCTAAAAATACTTATATTCGTTGCTACATTTTTTAATTTCTGTTTTGTGTGTAAAAAACTCTTTACAAAAAATTAATTAAAATTCCCAAATAGACACTTTTCATATAATATATGTATGTGCATACGTCCATATATCATAGTTTGTCAAGAATTTGATTTTTGTTTGCATTGTTAAACTACTATAAATACTTAAATGAAAATGGTATTGATATTTTATATGAAAAATAATTTTTCTTTTATTCATTGTGACTTACACTATTAATCGTGATACCAGAGCACTAATCATTGTTAATCCTTTGTACTATTTTCTTTGATGCGCAGGTAGAAGTTTTATTTTGTCTTTACTCCCGACAGATGTGAGGTGCAATAAACTCTGTAATGTTTTATAAATAATTTTAATTTTATTTTAAAATTTATACAATTAAATTTTTTTTTTTTTAATTTTTCTTTTCATTTCGGTAAACATTTCCCAATGACGTTTAAATCTTACATCTCAATCGAATTGTTTAATATAATTTGAACTGGCATGACACTTCGAATTTAATACAATTCTTATTATTGATTTGTTAAAGGAACTAAGCAATTTTTAAAACAAAATCGTTCAGAAAATGAAGCACCGAAGCTCCACGAACACAAAGACCCTCCACTTTAAAACACAAAGTTATAATAACAACCAAACAATAAGGTATCAAAATGACAACCGATGCAATGTATTCTTTGCTTACAACACAAGGAAAATACGTGATGGAATATAGAAATTCCATTAAAGGAAAGAAACGTCAAAACGTCAGAGTTGTTATATTTTATATATCGTATGTTTATTCAAAATTCATAGCACAATTTGATATGGAAAGACCGTATGCAGTTACTTTGAAGCTGCAGCTGCCATATGATCGTCAGAAGTCGGAATATAGTAGAAAAAATTTTATAAAAGGAATGTGCAGCTGCGAATATCGAAGTTATAAGCTTAAACAGAATTTATAAACATTAATTGGCAAGCGGCGGATTGACATAATAAATAAATTTGCCGTAATAATAAATTTGCATAAAAATGAGTAAATATGTATGAAACAAACTACAGGTGCTGCATTATTTAAATGACTCCGGAACTTTGATACCATGTTTTATCGTAACATACTTAAAAAACTGAATTAAATCTCTTTTCAAGAAGAAAACAGATACCTCATATTAGCAGGAGTATTAGCAATATATATGTATATCGCTAATACATAAGGGAGTTGAAATTCCTATTAAAAAGAATATTAAATATTTTAAACTTATATTATACAAGAAACTCACCTGGTAACTTAATATTGAGAACAGAGTAAGAAGTGGTAATGTTAATTTTCATACCTGCAAAAAAGCGGTGGTATCAGAGAAAGCTAATTCCACTTTCAGTATTTTAAGTATTAGGCACTGTACCCTCTTCGTTCACTGTACAAGCACTATTTAATTTACTTATATTGAATGGGAAGGGAAGAAATAATTGCATCATCACACTAAGATTAAGATTAAGATTAAAAAGAATGACACTATAATAGGATCGACAACCGCGGCAGTGATCAATGACACAAAAATCAGTCTCCATACTTTGAGAAAAACTTTGTCTGATTTCCTGATAAACACTATATATCAGGCAGAGGCAGCGGTATTATCCACCAAAGAAGTAGCTGTCTACTTAACCAGACACGTTATAATCAAAACTACTGCTTGACGGATATAGGTAGCCAGCTATCAAATCAAACGAACTAGGAAATATTAAGTTCGTTTGCTCAAGATTGCCTGGTAACTTCAAGCGATATAAATACTGCCTCTAGGATACGTTTAATATGAGGTAATATTAAGATTGTTTGTTCAGGATTTCCCGGTAATTTCAAGCGATATCAACACTCCCTCTAGGATATACTTAATATGAGTTTCGGGCCAAAACGATATTGCAGCTAATTTTAAGGCCGATGCATTATCCAGACAAGCTACAAATCTTTACCCTGTTCTTACACAGGAGCAATTTCGGATATAACTGTCGTCAATTGTAAGTTTAATTAAACATTCGGAAGATAAAGGTTCTTCTATAGCTGCTCAGTTCCTACCATAAGTAAAGGGAACTTCTTAGGTAATTATAGCTTTATATTATAAAAACCGTCCTACACTTTATCAAAGCCTCAAAATGGCTCAATGAAGTCCCGTGTCATGAAGTAGTCTCGCAATGAACCCGTAGTGTTTAAGTGAGTTGGTAAATTTTACTAGCTGTCACCTTCATCTAACCTATTGGTTTAAAACAGCCATATATCGTCCAACCTAAATACATATGTAGAATCCTATGTTGTATTTATCAATGCCGACTGGAAGCTGCTTGTCATAAAATTATATTTAATAATTATAGTATGAACATTTCCATTTTACTTATAAGCTATTGAAAATTAAAAATCATTTTATTGGTAACTTTTCTATATTTGTAGAAATATTGTATTGTAATCCGCAAGTTTATAAAAATTTTTATACTGTATTAAACAACAAATATAATAATATGCTTGGATTACAAATATTTGACCTCAATAAAAGTTACTCTGAAATGAAAACTAATCTAATTCAAATGTATTTTAAGGTTCTGATTCTTTAATCTAAAAAATGTATAGCAATCACATACTATTTTGTTGCTGAATTGTAAGATTATTGTAAGGTTATACGAATTGTAAGATTGTACTTGGTAACGTTTACGGAGCATTTCTTATGTTTATGTCCTGAGCCGTCACGAAGAAGCTTAAAATGCTTTGAACTACACAATTTCAGAAGCTTTGAGAACATCTTAAGAATCGAGCATCAAGTACTGTAGGTTCGCAAATAACGTCGACATCCCACTTGATACTTGTTATGTATATTAAAGTTTTACTTCATCTGGTACAACTCGAAATTAATAGATTTATGTGCGGCTTATTGCCATCCTAATTAACCTACCTAACCTATATGCACTGCACACTAATCAAGTTGATGTTCATTAACGTAACCTTTTGAAGTTATTGGTGCTGTACATGTACTTGTTCTTTTTATACTCTCTTACACCCTTCTGGTGCAAGTAGACAAGAAAAATATTACTACGTATTCACTCTAAAACCTTGTTTTTGTCCTTTGTACCCATCGTAACACTAAACAATTATTTCAGAAATTCTCGCCTTAATACAGGAATTGGTTAGTTACCTCCCATTATTTGTATATTTTACACAAATTCCTACTTGCAGCTGGCTGAGATCAAACAAAATGTTAACGCGGTGCAGACCATCATTTTTCAATGCCATTCAAGTTGTGCTCTCTCTCTCTTGCTTAAATTTTTTTGAAAGTTATCATTCAAGCAAAATTTTTGAAGAATAAGTTTGTTTACGCACGCTGTAAGTGTTTCGCACGTTGTTCGTGTGTTAGTGCAACCATACAGAAATATGGTCTTGAATGCTCTTGAATGTGGTATAAAGTGGGTACTTCTTATATGTCTGTGACAATTATCTAATATAATGTATCAAACTTTTTACATTATTCAAACAATATGGATTAAATATTTCACTACCTAAATATGAACTTGTTAGTATCATATATATATATATTTATATAGATGCACAATCGTATATACAACACTACAAAAAAAATATTCCATTGTCATACATATATATTGTGATTATTTTTATTAGAGTATATATAAAACAGATATACTTTATGACAATAATCATAAGAAAGAATTAATAAAAAAATGTACATATAGTATGGTTTGTTTACAAATTAAAAGAATTATATTAAAATTATACTCTAAACACCTATAAGTGTTCAATATATTTGTTACGCCATATTATTTCACATATAATTTAGTATATTAGTGTGTAGTGAATATTAAATGCAGTTTTTAATACTTATTCTAATTACATTGTTAGATTTACATGCGACTACCCAGCTTAGATATTATCCTATTTTTCAACACCTTATAAATTAGTTTAATTCTTATACCTAATTATATATCTTAATTTTTTAGTTACCTTAATATATTTTCATATTAACGTACATATTTTTAATACTAATTGAATATTTCGTTTCTTCATTTAAAAAATAAAATAATTCGTTTTAAATTCACTGTCATAATTGATCATATTGAGAGTTTTTGTTTTTGTTTTTCTTTTTTCATTTTTCATTTTTCATTTTGTTTGTTACAATTTTAATCAGTCAATTAAAGATGATTATATTGGACCAATAGGAAGGACCACTGTATATTTCTAAAATTTATATAATTTTCACGTTACTACAATTATTTAATTATGATGAGTTGTTGAGTTGCTCATTATACTATAGTAGTGTTGCTTGGGTAGCTGTTAGAGAATATAAATTAAACTAAATTAAATACATATGTATAAATTATATTATATTTTCGTTTATGTATTATGGAACAGTTATTTCACAAATTCTGCTTTCATAAAAAGATAAATATCGTAATATTAGTAGAAAGAATAGATAGAGACTTTGTGCATGATTTGGGTATTCTATTGCAATTATTTGTACAATTGAATACCCTTGTTGTACTACCAGTGCATCAGTCTAATTTGATCAAGAATACGCTGTTTAAAAAATGTGCCAAGCATACCAAAAACAGTCGAAATAGCTGCTATACCCATCATGGCCTGCATGATACAATGAACTCCTGACAAGTCATCTGCGGATTGCCTAGATCTATGCCTTTGCCTATAATGACGTCTATCATGTTCATGCAATCTTTGCAATTGCTGCAATTCCTCATCGAAATGTGGGATCACTGCTAAATTGACAACCTCAGTTTTAGCAAGTATCTCCTCATTTGCGATAGTATCGAAGTTTCTTTCAATGAAACCGTTCTTATTCACGTCATTGTTATTTGATTGTTCATGATTTAGTTCTCTCTGACGGGAGCGTTCGTCAAGCATGGTATTGTCGCGACTAAAATCGATATCTGTATTTTTCGATTTTGTAGCAGTTGAATAGTCTGCTAAATTAACTTTTGTGAGGAAATGTAAATTGGTTGTCTCTGAATGATCTAAATATATTTCAGCTAAAGAACGACTGTTCGTTTCTGTTGTCGTTGGTATATCTTTTATTCGAAATTGTTTAAATTGATTTTTCTTTATTCCTAACACTTCAGAAAGTGGTTTATTTATCATAGGAAGTATTGTATCAGTAGGCCTGATAATGAACGAGCCAGTAGTGGGAATTACTTCTGAAAATTGTGGAATAGGTTCTAAATTTTGTTCATTGGTCTTTACTTGCACATTTCTCGAAAAATCGGATTTCTCAATATTTTCTTCTTCGCCTGAATCACCTAAATTCATTGGCTCAGAATCAATTGTTTCGTTGTCTGTAGAATTAAGGCCTGCATTCTTTTCAGTATTTCCAACTGTGTTATTGTCAAAGTTAACATTTTTTTGTTGAAATTTATTTGTTAGATTGCGAATAGGCTCATATTTAGAGTTTTCGGAGTCGCCGCGGTAAAGCAGTGCAACCTTGCCATCTGGTGTTAATACAGGTGTTATTTTAGGATGAGAAGATGCTAATCGGTGACTACTTTCCGGATCTGGAGATAACGCATCAAAGTCGGTAAATGTCATTTTTGGTTTTTTACCAACATTTTCCTGATCATTGTAACTATTCTCATTTGGTTGATAGACTATACCTACTTTTCCTAAAGGTGTTGAAATTATTTTAATAGCGTCATTTGTATTTTTCCGAAAATATCTACTATTTGACTTGCGTTTATTATTAAAAAAGTTTTTAGAATTTTCATCATTATCAGTATCATAATCGCCATAACTTCTATCTGTATCAATATCATAATCTTCATCATCGTTAGCAAAATTGCCGCTG